GTTTAAATGTAATGAACATATTTGACCCCTGTGACCTTAAAAATGGATGAAGGACATTCATTTGAACAAACTTTATAGCCCTTCATCCCAGCATGTTACTGGCCAAATATCAGTAACATTTTCTCATCCGTATTTTAATATGCCAACATAATGCACACAACTGTTGATCATTATTGAAACAAGAGGCCCAATGGGCCTGCATCGCTCACCTGGTCCCTTTGTTTTTCAGAAGAAGTTGTTTAAAGGTTAAGAATATATTTGACCCTGTGACCTTGAAAAAAGATGAAAGTCATTCATTTGAACAAACTTTATAGCCCTTCATCCCAGCATATTACTGCCCAAATATCATCACCCTAGGCCTATCGGTTATTCAGAAGAAGTTGTTTAAATGTTTTAAACATATTTGACCCCTGTGACCTTGAAAATGGATGAAGGTCATTCATTTGGACAAACTTGGTAGCCCTTCATCCCAGCATGTTACTGGCCAAATATCAGTAACATTTTCTCATCCGTATTTTAATATGCCAACATAATGCACACAACTGTTGATCATTATTGAAACAAGAGGCCCAATGGGCCTGAATCATTCACCTGGTATTAATCTCACAAATAATCTTTAAAGTGGACTAAAATACAGTTACATGCACCTTGAAAATAGATGAAGGCCCTGGACCTTTTGGTTATACAGAACAAGTCATTTAAAGATTTAAACGTATATTGACCACTGTGACCTTGAATATGGGCGAAGGTCATTCACTCCCTTCATCCAAGCATGTTACTGGCCCAATATCATCAGCCAAGGCCTTTTGGTTATTGAGAGGAAGTTGTTTAAAGATCTTTAACATGTTTGAACCCTGTGACCTTGAAAATAGATGAAGGCCCTGGACCTTTTGGTTATACAGAACAAGTCATTTAAAGATTTAAACGTATATTGACCACTGTGACCTTGCATATGGGCAAAGGTCATTCATCTGACACAAGAGGCCCAATAAGCCTGCATCACTCACCTGGTATTAATCTCACAAATAATCTTTAAAGTGGACTAAAATACAGTTACATGCAAAATATCAGTGTTTCATTCATAATAACCTATTAAAGGTTTAAACATATGCCACCTGTGACCTTGAATGTCGAACAAGGACATTATAATATTAGGGTGAACCGAGCATGCTTCTGGAAAAATATCATTACCCTGGACCTTTGGTTATACAGAACAAATCATTTTAAGATTTAAACATATATTGACCACTGTGACCTTGAATATGGGCGAAGGTCATTCACTCCCTTCATCCAAGCATGTTACTGGCCAAATATCATCAGCCAAGGCCTTTTGGTTATTGGGAGGAAGTTGTTTAAAGATTTTTAACATGTTTGAACCCTGTGACCTTGAAAATAGATGAAGGTCATTCGTTTGAACAAACTTGGTAGCCCTTCATCCCAGCATGTTACTGGCCAAATAACATTATCCTTTCCCTCTTGAGTATTCAGGAGAAGTTGTTTAAAGGTTTTAAACATATTTGACCCCTGTGACCTTGAAAATGGATGAAGGTCATTCATTTGAAAAACTTGGTAGCCCTTGATTCCAGGATGCTACTGGCCAAATATCATTATCCTAGGACTTTTGGTTACTGAAAAGAAGTTGTTTAAGTAAAAAGTTGAAGCTGGACAGACGGACGGACGACGACGGACAACGCACCATGGCATAAGCTCACTTGCCCTTCGGGCAGGTGAGCTAATAAATGGTATTGAACAGTTTGGATAAGTTCAGATATCATCTAGCCTCGATTTCTTAAGATTTAGAGTCAAAACAATTCTGTCTCTCTTTCATTGCAATTTCTTGGTTATTCATAATATGAATACATGTACATATATTTTTGTCTATGTGTGATACTTTTTACCCTATGTGCAATACTTTTTACCCTATGTGTGATACTTTTTAACCCTCTCTGTTAAAACTCCTTGTCTATGTGTGATACTTTTTAACCATCTCTGTTACAACTCCTTGTCTGTGTGTTCTGTTTAACCCTCTCTGTTACAACTCCTTGTCTATGTGTGATACTTTTAAGTTTTTACCCTATGTGTGATACTGTTTAACCCTTTCTGTTACAACTCCTTGTCTATGTGTGATACTTTTTAACCCTCTCTGTTACAACTCCTTGTCTATGTGTGATACTGTTTAACCCTCTCTGTTAAAACTCCTTGTCTATGTGTGATACTGTTTAACCCTCTCTGTTACAACTCCTTGTCTATGTGTGATACTTTTTAACCCTCTCTGTTACAACTCCTTGTCTATGTGCGATACTTTCTAACCCTCTCTGTTAAAACTCCTTGTCTATGTGTGATACTGTTTAACCCTCTCTGTTACAACTCCTTGTCTATGTGTGATACTGTTTAACCCTGTCCGTTACAACTCCTTATCACCTGCAGCTGTGTATCAACCTTCTTGTAATGCACACTCCTTCCATGTCATAGGTTAAAAACACCAACACTGTTCTAAAGCCAAATCCTGAATTTAAATCTGCAAGTCATTTCAATCTGATTAAAATGCACATCTTCAAAATCAATGAATGCCAAGATAAGTGTTTTACTCTCGATTGCATGTAATTTCAAATGTTTAAATATACTATTTGACTACTGAGTTGTCAAACACCTACAAGCCATTAGGGTATGAGGATTATTAATACTTTGATGTTGTAGATAGAATATCCTATTCAGAGAATATTAGAACAAGAGGCCCAATGGGCCTGCATCGCTCACCTGGTATTAATCTCACACTTGTAATCTTAAAAGTGGACTAAAATACAGTTACATGCAAAATATCAGTGTTTCATTCATAAGAACCTATTAAAAGATTTAAAGTAAAACATATGACAGCTGTGACCTTGAATGTCGAACAAGGACATTATAATATTAGGTTGAACAGAGTTTATAGTCTTCCAATCCAGCATGCTTCTAGAAAAATATCATTACCCTGGACCTTTGGTTATACAGAACAAATCATTTTAAGATTTAAACATATATTGACCACTGTGACCTTGAATATGGGCGAAGGTCATTCACTTGGTAGTCCTTCATCCCAGCATGTTAATGGCCAAATATCATCACCCTTGGCCTTTTGCTTATTAAGAAGAAGTCATTCAGTGGTTTTAAACATATTTGACCCCTGTGACCTTAAAATATATATGTCCTAGGCCTCTTGGTTATTCAGAAGAAGTTGTTTAAAGGTTAAGAATATATTTGACCCTGTGACCTTGAAAAAAGATGAAGGTCATTCATTTGAACAAACTTTATAGCCATTCATCCCAGTATGCTACTAGCCAAATATCATCACCCTAGGCCTATCGGTTATTCAGAAGAAGTTGTTTAAATGTTCGCCCTCTGTGACCTTGAGTATAAGTCAAGGTTATTTATTTGAACAAACTTGGTAGCCCTTCATCCCGGCATGTTACTGGCCAATTATTATCAACCTAGGCCTCTCTGTTATTCAGAAAAAGTTGTTTAAAGGGTCATTCATTTGAACAAACTTGTTAGCCCTTCATCCCAGCATGTTACTGGCCAACTATTATCAACCTAGGCCTCTTGGTTTTTCAGAAGAAGTTGGTTAGTGTTTTTAACATATTTGACCCCTGTGGCCTTGAATATAAGGCAAGGTCATTTATTTGAACAAATTTGGAAGCCCTTAATTCAAACATGTTACTGGCAAAATATCATCATCCTAGGCCTCTTGGTTATGCAGAAGAAGTTGTTTAAAGATTTTAACATATTTGACCCCTGTGACCTTGAAAATTGATGAATGTCATTTATTTGAACAAACTTGGTAGCCCTTCATCCAATCATGCTTCTGGCCAAATATCATCACCCTAGGCCTTTTGGTTACTGAGAAGAAGTTGTTTAAAGTAAAAAGTTGACGCCGGACGGACGCCGGACGCCGCACCATGCCATAAGCTCACCTGACCCGAACAGTTGCGCTAAAAACAAGAGGCCCAAAGGGACTATATAGCTCGCCTGGATCTTTATGCCCAACAATAGTATATATATTTAGCTATGGGTTTTAGATATCCCAACTATTTCAAAAGTTATTGTCCAGAAATCAAGCCCCTTTAGGCGAGGCCATTCCCTAGGGTCAATTCTAATATATCTTAAATAGCGTTTTGGATTCTTATGTTCTGAACAGTTCTCTACAATAGCAAAGAAACTTGTATTATATATCTTATTAAATAGGATAGTTTATAATACAAGGGATATAACTCACTACACATGTGTTCAATACAAAAGCAATGAAGATGTGGATTCTGTGTAATAAATTATTACAACAAAGTATCACATGTATTGTATCTATCACTCTGTCCATAATTGTATGATGTTAACTTAACAAGACCAGCTAGTTGTTAAAAACTTAGTTAACTGAACTTATTTACCCCTGAAGATAAATATGAACTCTTCCAATACAAAGGTTGGAATAGTTCATTATGAAATTTCAGGGGTAAATGAGTTAACAGGAAAAGGGTCCTCAATACAGATTTTCAAAATGCCATTTTTCAAAAATACCTCAAAAATCACAAAGAAAATGTATGAGTTGTCTCTGCATGATCCGTTTGGATCCTTTTTCATGAAGTTTTTTACCTGAATTTCAGTATTTTTTAAAAATATAAGATGTGAAAGTTTTGTGTTGATCGGTCCTTAAGCTGACCTAGTTTTTGACACCGGGACCAGACAAACATTGTACAAAGTTTTTCCTGTGTATTTTGGCACCATCTTCGTGTTTGAGAAACACTGAGGAGATATTGAATGATCAAAATTCACTTCTTTTCTTTTGTTAAAGAATGTACAATTTTCAGAAGTCCCTCCTGCTATTTGGAAATGAAATGACACAATTTTGCATAAATGTTTTGAGATAAGTTTCCCCCCCAAACAGGGTTTTACAAGGAACAGGGCCCCACAAATGTACACAGGAAATTCCAAGTAGATTTAACAATTAAAAACAATCTAATGAGAACTCAACAGATTTCTCGAATTTAATGACAAAAAATGATACATTAATAATGATAAATGTATAATATACTTGCAGTACTTAATCTCTAGTGCGGTGCAGGGTACCACAAGTTAAACAGAAAACTGTCACTACTATAGTACTTATATATTTTCCACTGTACTTTCACATGCATATTGCTGAAACATTTATCCATATCAAGTACTTGTGTACCATGAATAAGCTTTTAGTCTTTTCACCATGTCATTAAAAATCAAATTATATTGGTCCATAACTTAAAAAAAAAATACAGAAAAATATTAGTCTAATAAAATAGTATTTAGTCTATCTATAGGTAAGGGCAGTCGTGTAACAACAAAAACAAATCACCAAAACATTGTCACATGTATATATGATTATCACAATTATATATGCATTTGAACTCTGACCTAAATATATCAGGTAAAAGACATGATTATCTTACTAGTACAGCTGTACTTAAATTTCACTTTTTATCCCGTGTTGAATGTTCACTCATCAAAATAACGAACTTTTCAATATTGTTTCAGGATCTTAATTACATATAAGTGTGTTACAGGACCACAACTGATAGGTTGAAGCTGTTCCAATATTATTCTCGTAATTGATAGTATTTCTAAAATACCTTCCACATTAATTCATGACCTTATTGTTATTTAGCACAGAGTTTCAGGCTTTAACCATTTCCTTGTGAATGAATTAATATTTATTATTTTCTTTCCATAAATACTTCCAATTATTTCTATAATTTGCTTTAATGATTCGTAGTCGGTCACAAATGTCACATATATCATTCCATGTGGCTGTGCAAAAAGTTCTTTTCCATCTAAGATAGCACTCTTAATTCAAGATCGCTTCGACAGTGACCTTGACACTACGAGGTCAAATAACACACACAAGATTTCTCTTCATACTTTAGATCCAAGCACTAACAATCGAAATAGTCCATCAACAATGTCATCAAAAATTTATATCAGCAGAAAATTAGTGCACACAGGTATATGAATTTAACAATAGCATTTAATGCAAAAATGCGCAATGCAGTTTAGAGTTCTTGTTGGGTTGATAAAATTCATGGAAGGGTCAATTGACGTCATCTGTGGTAGCTTGTCCATAGAATAACAACCATTTTCAAAAGACAATTTGCACATTCAAACATCAGTCCGTTGTTCGAACCAAGCTTTAAACATCTCATTCCTACAGTGTTGCTTTTCCATTCTGTATCCAAATATTAATGTGATAAATAAGAATAACACAATCCTTTTGCAGGTTTTCTTCTTTTTCTTCACTCTGTTCTTTGATGACAAAATTATTTAAATAACAAGTCAATAGTGGCATCCTGTATTTCAGTTCTCATCTTGTAGATCAAGGTTCTGTTCGTCGTTATCGGCCGACTCGCTTGTCCACAGTGCTAGGTTGTCTCTGAGCAGTTGCATGATAAGCGTGCTATCTTTGTACGTATTGGATTGCTCCTCTGTGTCGCCTATGTCTTTGATGCCCATGTCAAATGCATCCTTAGCCAACGCTTGTGCCTTTTTTGGTTCATTTCTAATTTCATAGTAAAATACTGAGAAGTTTAATGCCAATCCTAACCTGATCGGATGCGTTGGCTTCAGTTCAGTGGTTGCCGTGTTCCATGCGAGCTCATAAGCTTCCTCCGATTGTCGCGAAAATATTTCACGATTTTCTGCGGAAGCAACCTCAACTTTGTAGCGAAAGTAGTCTCCCTTCATTTTCATATAGAAGACCTTGGATTCGGGACCCCCTGCGTCAGCGTTCTTAATTAGGTGATCATCTAACAATTTAGTGACCTCATCACATATTCCATTCAGTTCATCCGCTACTGTCTTTTTGTACTTCTGACAGATTGATAATTTCCAGTGTATCGCCTCGTCCTCCTGTCCATTATCCAGTTTGCATTGCTGACCGTTTTCAGAGGATTCAATGACCCGCCATGCATTTCGACGTGAACCGACGATGTTTTTGTATGCGACGGACAGAAGATTTCGTTCGTCGTCAAGCAAGATGCTCGTTGGAATACCATTTTCCTTAGCTGCCCTGTACTCCTCAGTCGTGTCCGGGAAATCAAGAGGCAAATTCATGGCGAGAGTTTTCATGTACTCTGCCATATCCTTGTACCTCTCGCCTTGTTCCGTAACTTTTGCCATGTGCACTAAGCGGTGTCGTTCGTCGGCCATTGTTCCCGGTGTCTTGTTCCCAGCGAAAGTGTCAGCTAATGTATAATATGGACTGGCTCACAAACAGAGACAGTTATTATATATCTGTAATCGTAGGCTGAACTCACCGTGTTTCCAAAATGGCCGCCGCCTGAACACGACCCTGGTATGCGTGCGTTTACCGACTCTATCGCTCACAATACACACGCACTGCCTGATTATGAATAGCACTCCGTACCGCTACACAAAATATAGCTCGTTTCCGAAATGTTTCGATAGGCTTTGTATAATTCGAAAAGTTCAGCTTATGGCCACCACTAGCCGATACTGGAAGGAGACCCGGTTGGTATAGAAATTAACGTGACTCACTGCGTAATTCAACAGGGCGGGGCTAAGTTGCTGGTGGTACAAGTATTGTGGGAAGGGGTTTTGCCGCCTTGGTCGCCGGCTCATTCAGCCATATCGCTATGTGTGTGTACACACGCTGAGCGAGACAGTTGGTGTACACCGTAGGCAGTAGCGATACAGCTATAAAGGTATTCGGTAATTATTGCGCAATGGAGAGTTAGCCATTTGTAACGATATTTCTGTTAACACGTCACAACTGTAAGTAGGAACACGTTCTATTACTTGTAAGTTTTGTTTCTATATAACATTTTACTTACACCTTGATATATATACAACTTCATATATGTATATTCATTTTGTCTAGTAAGGAGGGAGGGAGTTAGTCACAATGTTATAGACATGTATAGATATGTAACTGAAGAGGAAAAATGCACGGCCAGACCGGGGTTCGAACCCGGGACCCTCCGAACTCTTAGACGGACGCTCTACCAATTAGACTATCTGGTCGCCGACGATCGACCCAGTCGAGTTCCGCAATATTATATATAGTTTTTTTAGGTTACTGATCACAATTTCGTGGTAATACGATCCAAACCAGTTATTCGGTATAATTATTCGGCCATAATTTATTGACGAAATTGATCAAGTCTGTACGGAAGCTTGAATTTCAACAATGTATTACTTTTATACTATAACAAGACATGTTTATAGGTAATATTTTGAAACACAAAGATGTCTTGTAACATTGTTCAATAAAGTTGAAATTAAACAAAGTTTTATTTTGTACTTTGTCTTACGTATACTTTGCATTACCTACTGTTTAACATCAATTAATACTTTCACAGTGCAAAGGAAAAGTTTTTATTCTCGCAAACTGGTTACAGTGTAGAGAATTATATACATACATATATAACAATCTACATGTAAATCATGGTGTTAATGGACAGTGTTAATTCGCTCAATTATGTGCTTAAGAAAATTTACAAGTGAAATTACTTCTTGACTTCATTATTGAAATAATTAAATAATCTTTCAAAATGACATCTCAACATAAATTTCTTCTGTTTTGCAGTATTTGGTGATCATTACAATTAATCAAATAATGATATTCGTCTTCAATTTCATTCAGGTCGCAAAGAATTATTCCATCTACCACATTGAATCGGAAATTTAGCATTACAAATTCTAAATTTACAATAAACATTTGCTAGTTTTGGAGGGAAATCTAGCAGATATATTTCTAATGCAAAGTCATTTTTATAAATTCTGTAATTGGTCCCTACATCGCTTCTCAATTTATCTTTGAGTGTATGGAAAACTGTATTTTTCAACCATTACTTTGGAATTCTTGACTTTCAAATATTTGTGTTAAATTACATTCTTTAAGGATATTTTTATACGATATAACCATTGAGTTATAGTTTATAATTATCTTATGCATTTTATTACTTAATTTATTAGGTATTGGTTCTAACAATTTGGCCAAAATCCAATCATTCAAACTTTGATATTTACATTCAGAGGAAATCTTCATAGTTCTCCATAAATCATGAAATTGGGTGTCGATGTTTTCACGTGAAAAATATGTTTACAGAACTTCAAATGTAAGCGTTCTAAAAGTTTGTTATCACTGAAAACACAGTCTTCACAATCATGGAACATGACAGAAAAGTCTGCAGACACAATGAGATTGAAATCGAGACAGTTGCACCATTGAGCGCGGGGCTGGGAGGTGGAGTTGTTGAAGACCATGAAAATGTTAATGTTTGTAAGGAGGTTTTCCAAGAACATATTGTATAAAAAGATGGCAGTTGAGCTATTATAAGGTCTAACCACAGGGACCTGAGAGTTTGTTACAGCTATATTTGTACTTAAACAAAGGTGTTCCGAGTAATTTTACACGTTTTAGGGGCGTAGATTAGTTATATGCGTATATACCTTAATTACCCATAATATACGCAGTGATGGTTTCCCAATGATGAAATATAGATTGGGGTGTGATTTAAGTATACCATGCAGTATAAACCATCATAGTCGGGTGATGCAGTGGGTAGCGCACTTGCCTTCCACCATGGCGACCGGGGTTTGATTCCCCGATCAGACGTGGAAAGGTATGGGGTTACCTGCCCGACCACGTGGTCTTTCTCCAGGTTCTTCGGTTTCCTCCCACACGTGCTAACATCTGGGCCAACAAGAGTGACTCATATAAGTTGTAAAATCTCGTTTCATAATTGTAAAATAAATTTTATATTGTATATTAATTTTCAATAAGTATAGCATGTGTAATGATCAAATTGATCTAACACCCTACACGTAAATGAGCATACGTAACCCCCGGAATTTGAGGATTACTATTTAGATGAGTCTAAGTTATGTTTATTGATGGGCGACATTACTCTGAAGGTGGTACGTGTCAGATGATTAGTTTACCACACATGATATTAAAATTATATCATGATATTAAAATTATATCATGATATCATTGATGGTATTATACGATCTGTTGCAAACCCTCTGGGAGCTTATATATCTGATCTTAGAATTCTCATTTCATGTTAATATTAAGAAAACTAAGGGATCTATCTAGTTTAATTAGAAACGGAAACGAACGACGCATCTTCAAACCTGAAATGCGAAATGGAAATTCGGTGACGTAACCATTTTTACTGCTTAAGTCACGTGTCACTCCCACCTTATGGCGTCACTGCAGTAATCATCAAAAAGTCACACTGGGTGCTACTATATGTCACTGGAAAGATCTTGGATAGAGTTATTACTTTACGTTACAGACTTAGTATGTGATCAATAGATTGCTTATTCATGCAGACAATTGAGTCACTCGTGTGGTCATTTTGGTCATCAGTGCTTCTAAAAATAACCGTGGAAAAAGTGACTACATAAAACGTTTCATGATAAAAAATAGTAAAGATTATGATGTGAACAAGAAGTGACCTTCACTAGCACTATACAGGTCACGTAGAATGACTTGCTCATGTTCAGCTATTGTACGTTATAAAACAGGTACTGGGTAAGCTAGTCCGAATTGTTTTGACGTTTTATCAACCTTTTTTTTTTATATCGGTCTGGCGTTAATCGACGCCAAACCATTATAAAAAAGTGTACAAAACGTCAGAATAATTCGGACTATGAGTAAGTGATTGAAACTTGTAAAGTGTTTTGTTTCATAATTGTGGGTATTATCACGGAATTAGATTATCTAAGTACGTGGTATTATTCAAATTAGAGACGTAGATATGTTCAAATATAAGGAAAATACATGTATGATAATATGGGTTGTGAGGTTATACGGGCATTTCTTCCCGTATTATAGATGTATCCTGTGGCTATATACTATTATTATCTTACAATTAAAGGGCACAATGACCTTATAAAACTTGGCATGGCTTCCGTTGATTGTCACGTACGGTTTCATCTTTTCACAAAACGGCCATGAAATTTGTTCTGTGACATAAATAGACCAAGGGGAACCAATGTTGTCTAAAAGGAGAGTCAGGCTGCCCCCTTCCATACCTCATAAGATTCAGTGGTAAAATGCCAATGATCCCTACAACTGTAAAACCTGTATCATATATGGGTTTTTTTACATAAAAATACAAGGCACTGTTCCACCAGAAAGCGTTAGGCGGGGAGGGGCGGTATTATCTTGAATAATTCACTTATTGAACGAAACCAGCCAGACACGAGAATGTTTGTTAAAAAGGAGAGATTACTTATGGTAAATCGTATTGACCTCCAGCCCCGAAACCTGATGTAAATGTATCAAGGGGGACTTGTGTAAGTCTAACTCCCAGTGACGTCTGAAGTATCCAAGTTGTTCCGAGGAACCGTGAGATTCCTGGAATAGGATTAGTTTATACGTGTGTAAGTTATAGGTCAGCGTGTCACACGTGACTCACAATAATCAATAACAGGCACAAATGTAGTGGCTAGATGGACAGGTGTACAGTCAGTCATAACCGTAAACAAAACCTGACACCTGGGTTTTGATGCGCTACCGCCAAGCTGACAAATGTGAGAAATTGTAAATTTCCGGATAATTCCGGATGATCGCAGCTGGCAAAAACTATTGCAATGGAAACTTTCAAAAATGTACCTATTCAGAAATTGTTGTATTGCAGTTGTTTTTGGTCAGTTGATATTTGGTTATCTTATGCTTTTAGCTAATATTTCACGATTGTGTCTAGCTTTCAAATAAATTTCACCGGGTTCATCGTCCTAACAGTTACCAAGGTCATATGAAGATGGATGCCAAGTAAGACTGCCGAAAATTTAAAAAAAAACGAGATAGCGGAGAAAGACAAACGCAAAACAGACAGAAGTTGTATGGAAGGGGCAGCAGAACAGTTCTGGTTGCTAGCGTCCCTAAGCGGAATGAATCGAAGACACAGAAGAAAACAACACCATATTCTGCAAACTGCGCCACTTTAGTCGCCCTTTATGATAACATGCGGTGAATAGACAGAACACGTAGGAGAGAAAAGAAAATGTAGAGGTATTTCAATATGCAACGGACCAATCTTGGCTTTCAAATGTCCTTATGCATGAGACACAAAAGAAGACCTCTAATTCTGCGGAGACACACATTAGTCGCCTTATACGATAAGCTGCAGTGGGATACGACACCAGGCCAGTTCTTGATAAAATTATTTCACGGAACTTGACAAGGCACGTTCGGGTTTCCTGTTTTATGGAGCCTCTTGAATGTTTAAATAAGTATTTGTGTTCCACTATCGTCTTGATGCAGCGTAATCCATACTCTGTCTACTACTACAATTACAGACATACTATATCTATGACAATTTTGAGTGTGCAATCACCTCTGTGTGTTAGGTCATCTTTCTGGAGGGTACTGTTTTACTATCCCAGGACACGCACGCGTATTTTGTGCTCACTCAAAATAATAAATATACGCATTGAATATAAAATAAAATAGCTAATTCATCATTTACCTAATCATCAAGGAAGATGTATACAGGTGAGAACAATACATCTACTACTTAA